CTCTCTCTCTCTCTCTCTTTCTCTCTCTGTCTCTATAGCGCGCGTTGAGGCAGAGCGTGATGTGTCGAGCAGCCTCCCGCTGGCAAGGTTGCGTTCCCCGCAGCCTCGCATGAAGCAGGCGCGGTCCAGGCGAGTGCCTCGGCGCGCCTCGCTTCCGTTGGCAGTTGGGCCTCTCAAATTGCTCGGCTGGCAGTGACTCGTAGCCGGAATCATCCTTGAACCGTCAAGTCCCTTTCTTCGATGGGCTGACAGCGACCGACTTGCCCGCCAATCGATTCGCTAGACAACAGCCCCCTCCCTCCCAGCTCAATGTGGGCCGAGGTATCAAGAACTCCAGAAAGGCTGCTGGAGCCAGACGTGCAGAGGAGGCGGCGAGGAGGCCAGTTCGGCTAGCGCTCCCCCACACGCGCTTGGCGCTAGTGCGGCTGCTGAATTTCATGCATCTACCTCATTGCACAGCTTTACCTCGCTCGTCGGCCAGCTCAGCAATCGTTGCCAAAGAGCCTCGCCGAGTAGGCCACGTATGCCCGGCTGGTGCAAGAACGAGCTGGCGGTAAAATGCAATCACCAAGCCACCCCGCTTCGGATAACGATGCCGTGGTCGCCTCTGCGCTCGCGTCGGAGTCGCAAGCCAATTGGTGGCGCATGCCAGCGGGCCTGGACTCGCAGCTACATCAGCTTGCTTGTCAGTTGGCTCAACCCCGCGGCGAATGACCCACTGGCTGGTGGAATCTCGATGGACGCATGATCACGCTCGGCCTCGTTGCGGAGAGCCAATTTCGCCGCGCCACCTTGGGTGCGTCTGGTACGCTGTCGCCTTTGGACCCTGCATCGCGAAAAGACGCAGGGTCCCGTGCGATGTGCTCGAAGCATTGCCCCACATCCAGCCACTCGTCCGTCCCGCGCAAAGATTGGAGAGCGAGAGCGCGTGAAAAGTTGTCATGATCGAAGTGTGATTTTGTGAAGCATCGGCTTCAGGAAGCGTCCTGCAGATCCGACTTGATCTGGATGGTCTCAAGGTTACGCCAAGCGTAAACGGTCCTTTCATGAATCGACACTGGCCTCTGCAGAATCAGCCGAGCGAATCGCTGGCACTGACGAAGCTGCGGCTCGCCATGTAGCTATCGCCACCTACCGCTTGGCGGTGGCGGGCGTGTGGAGTTCAAGGCTGGATTGCGGAGATTGACCGCTTCGGCATCCGCGGGTTCGTGGCTCTTACCGAGCGTCAGCCAGCAGCGTTGGTCCCTGCAGCTTGGGCGCTACGATTGGGCAGCAGTCTAAAATCTCGCGTGTGTGCACAGGGTCCTCTGCACGCGAAGCTGCGATGTTGGTCATGTGACTTTGGCGCTCTCTCTGCATGTTACACCTTCACTTGGCACAGATCCCCAATCGCCAAATTGCTCGGCGAGATGTCAGGACATCAAAATGTCCGAAGCACGCCATCGATGCAGCGGATGGTGTGCGGGGGTGCACCGGCAAGGTGCCATCGAGAGCGAGTCTGGTGTCAGTCAGCGCGCCCACTCTTTCAACGCGGCCTGCTCTCCACACAAACGCGCACGGCCCAGGCTCAGCTCAGCGCATTTCTTCTAACGCCGTTTCGACCCTGGCGAGCGCTTCTGGCGCTGTTGATTGCCGGATCGGCTGCATTTGGTTCGCCACCCCTCGCGGCAGTGTGGGCGAAGCCAAGGATTCGTGCCGCGTGTTCTTGGATGGCGAGATTCCTGAGCTCGAGTTGAGGTTGCCAAGATCCTACAAGAAGCAGAGAGATTGATGCACACTTGCCTTTCGACCATCAACATCTGCCAACTCTGCTCTGTTTCGATCATCGATACCCATCGACGCTATCAAGATGCCTGGCCTTCGACTTGGATCCATTGCTCCCAACTTTACCGCCGAGACCACCCAGTAAGTTTGCATTCACCACAAAGACAACGAGCATGAATGATTTTTGGCTGACTGCAGGTCGGACTTGTGCTTGTGCAGCGGTGTGCTCAACTTCCACGAGTATCTGGGTGACAGCTGGGGAATCCTCTTCTCGCACCCGGACGACTTTACGCCCGTTTGCACCACCGAGCTCGGTGAGGTTGCACGCAAGGCACCCGAATTCGAGAAGCGCGGCGTCAAGATCATCGGACTGTCGGCCAACGACATTGCATCGCACGACCGATGGATCAAGGACATCAACGAGGTGGGCAACACCTCGGTCAACTTCCCCATCATTGGCGACAAGGACCGCAAGGTCTCGACCGAATACGACATGCTCGACGCACTCGACCCTACCAATGTCGATGCCAAGGGAATCCCCTTCACCGTGCGCGACGTGTTTGTGATCGACCCCAAGAAGGTCATCCGCCTCAAGATCAGCTACCCCGCCAGCACCGGTCGCCACTTTGACGAGATCCTGCGTGTGATTGACTCGCTCCAGATCGGCGACAAGTACCGCGTCACCACGCCCGTCAACTGGCAGAAGGGCGACAAGGTCATCGTCCACCCTTCGGTCCAGGGCGAGGAGGCCGAGAAGCTCTTCCCCGGCTACGAGACCGTCAAGCCCTACCTCCGATTCACCAAGGACCCCTCGGCCAACTCGGCCTGATTCGTGCTTCGACCGCAATCTAATATGCATGCATTGTATGCACCCCATGCTGGCAATGCACAAAATGATTCCCCTTTGCACAATGCCTTGGCTCCAAAGCAGGGTCGAGACCGGAAGACGGGGAAAAGACATGCAGATGCGATTGCACGGCGAACAAAACAGAATGCGATCGAGACGAGGCGAGGCGAAAGATGGAATTCAAGGACGCCAGCGAGTCTTCTAGGTGTGGTCCTGCTTCCAGGCGAGGTACTCGTCGTAGGTGCGCGAGACCTTTTGGGAGCGATACCTGCGTACGCGGAGGGCGTTTCTGATGTCGTCTGTGATCCTGCCGTTGAAGCCGGCCTTGCGGATGGCCGAATCGATGGCATCTTGCTTTGTCCAGCCCTGGTCCGGGATGACGTCTGGAAGGTAGGTGGCGGTGAGGAATTGGGGACCTCCCAGTGCGGATCTGGAGAATCGCGATGATCTGGTGGATCGGGGTGGAGCCGGGGTGGATGCGCCCGAGCCCGACGAGGAGCTGGCGCTGTCCTCGTTGCCTCTCGCCAGCAGAGGCTTGGGGGCGAGCGCGGGATTGGGCAGGTGGATGTAGATGCCGTGCACGCCCACGTCCCAGTCGAGGTAGTCGTCGCAGTCTTCGAAATGCGTCAGCAGCGAGACGCCGCACTCGAGGCGAGCCAGCTCGGACGACGAGATGGGCGAAAAGCGACGGTCCTTGAACGCGGCGATGCTTGCGTATTCGGCGAGACCCTGCGGTAGCGGATAGGGCTCAAAGGTGCCGATGCAGCCGCGCAGACGCGGAGTGGCGGTGGAGGAAGCCGAGGATAGGATCGATCTGCGCGCAGTGGAGCTGTGCGTGAAGATGTTCCAGGTGACAAAGAGGGGGTACTCGTTGCCGTCGTCCTCGAAGGGCGCAGCAGGTGGGCGTGACGAGTATGAATTCGAGTTGAGCTCGTGTTCGATGACCGTAAAGCAGTAGTAGCAGTGTTCAGCCAGAGCCGCCGAGGGCTCGCTGTCGGATTGCGATGGAGCCATCGCGGTTGTGAAAGTCGAAGTGTATGATGCAGCGACCGCAGAGGAGGGGCTTGGACGTGGATTTTGGGCAAGTCGTGCTGAAGCTTGGATCGTAACGTTGGAGAGAGGGCAAGGAAATGCTCGTGGACAAGTGTTTCAGAATGTGAGTCGGATTTGGACTGGGACGGCGACGTGGAAGCCAGCTCGCAACGACGCCAGGAAGAAAGGAAGGGTTTGAGGGGCTGCTACGGTCGCTGCGTTGGTACAGAGACGATGATGATTGTGATGGGCGAGGGACATCACGGCCCTCGGCATGGCGCAGTAGGCTTGGCTGCACACGGCTAGGCGTTTGGCTGCGCGAGCGCTTGGACCCTGCGTCGAGGGCCAGGGAGAGCGGAGAGCGGAGAGCAGAGCCTCGTCCCGTTGGTTGGCCGTGCCTAGGATCCAGCCCGGCACAAAAAAAAGGGGAAAAGGCAAAGTCAAAGTTAAAGGGCGACTCGAAAAGACAGCCTGGAAAAGCATCCCGAAAATCCAGAAAAGGGGCCTCAAAACCGTGCTTGGCTGAGGTGGCGAGGGTCCGGCCTCGAGCTGGTGAAGGGAGAGCATATCCCCCGATACGGGACACTCCCGACCCTTCCTGGCGGCTTATTCCGATTCGAGCCGGATTGGGGCGGGGGCACAACGAGCGAGGCCCAACAAGGCGCCACGCAGCGCAGCATCGGGTCGAGGCCGACATGACATCAGCGCGCCTTGGCTCGCAGCCTCAATTTCTCCACATTTGTTCGCAACTGCAGTGCATCGCACGTTTTGGGACGTGCGCAACTGCACGGCTGCATCCCGAAACAAAAATGCCTACCTATACGGTGGTCGCAATTTTGGCAGCTGCGGGCTGGCCAACGTGCACGCGCCAATGCACCCTCACGACAGTGCCCATCCATCGGACACGTCGCTTTCGGAGCAGCCGAATCGTAGGCAGCCGCGAGGGACCAGCTTTACAGAGCGAAAAGACGGGCTGCCAATCCGCGTGCCAATTGAAGAGACAGCCTGAGAGCGAGAGCGAGAGCGAGCTGGGAGCTGGACGAGAGGCTGAGCTGGCACCAAAGATAGAAGTCGCGGGCAGGAGGCGTCGTCCGTGAGAGCCGCGTTGGCTGTCGCTGGCGATCGCGGCAGTTGGAGCCAGCCATCCCCCTTTTCAGCCGCGCCCCCTCTCGCGCTCTCCTGCCCCGTGTTGGTCTGGATTACAAATAGACTCTGGCTCGAGTCTCGGCTTTGAGACTCAACCGGCTGCTGAGCGTACCTTGCACCTTTGCTTCCATCCACATCACTCCTTCCCCGTTCTGATATCTCGCCAACCATGTCCAACCTTCCCGGTCTCCTCATTGACATCGTGAGTACCTTCGTCGCAAGGCATGTGCCCGTGCTCCGTCCGAACCGCGCGCTGACCATGTACGCATATTTGCATCCCCCCCGTCGCTGCAGCCGCGCAACCCCATCCTGGCGGTGGGCATCCCCGTCGCCGTGGGCGTGGTGAACGGCTTTGCCACCAAGTCGTCCAACTACTCGGCCGACTCGGTGTGGTACAAGTCGCTCAAGAAGCCCAGCCTGAACCCGCCCAGCAGCTACTACGGCATCGTCTGGCCCGTGCTGTACGCCTCGATGGGCTGGGCCTCGCACCTGACCGTCAAGGCGCTCGACCGCACCCCGCCCGGCCTCGGCCGCGACACGGCCAAGAAGGCGCTCTCGCTCTACTGGATCCAGCTCGGCCTCAACGCGCTCTGGTCGCCCCTCTTCTTTGGCGCCGGCAACGTCGGCCTCGCCCTCGTCAACATCGGCGCGCTCACCGGAACCGTCGGTTACTGGGCCGCCACCGTCAAGGACGTCGACGAGACCGCCGGCCTCCTCGCCATCCCCTACGTCGGATGGCTCGCCTACGCCACCTACCTCAACGCCAGCATCTGGTGGCAGAACTACGGCAACGCCAAGTTCGGAAAGCTCAAGAAGGAGGCCAAGGACCTCTAAGCTCCGAGCCCCACGCGCCTGCTTTCAATCGGCTTCCTGTATTCTATATACTCTGCCCATGTAGCCACCCCCCCCTCCCCCCCATCGATGGTGTGGTGAATGAATTCCAAACATGAAAAATTCGTAAGGCCGGTCCAAGCTAGGCTTGACGCACGGAGCTGCGGTCGGTGTCGACGCTGTCGCGGCGGTTCTTGATGGGGATGAATTGGCGGTCGGGATCGTGCTGGCCAAAGAAGACGGTGGAGCCTTCGACCATGCCGCGTTCGACGGTGTTGGTGCGGCTGCTGTGTGCCTGGAGCTTGCCCATGGCCTCGTCAAAGTCCATGTGCGTGGTGAGCGGGCGTCGGGGTAAGGCGGTGAGCGCATGTCGTGCATCGAGGTTGATGCTGAGGATGTTGCTCGAGTGTGCGCCTTCCGAGACGCTGATGAGCAGCGAGTACTGCTGCTGCGAGCTAGGCAGGGACGAGGTGGACGATCCATCGTGCAGGCTGCTCGATGCACTTCCTGGGGTGTTTGTGGACGATGCGGGTGTGGTGGAAGAGTTGCGCTCGTACACCTCGAAGGTGATGCTGGCAAAGTAGTCGAGCGGCGGGATCTTTTGCATGACCACATTGAGCTCGGAAGCGAGCACGAGGTTGAGCAGCGTGTGGATGTGACTCTCCTTGGTGAAGTAGAGACTGCAAATGCCCTTGCTCTCCTTGGCCCCCTCGAGATCCTCGACGATGTTCTTGAGTAGAGGCATGGATGTGAGGAATCCGATCTCCTCCTTCTCCTCGGGCGTGATGCCGTACTCCCTCGGACAGATGAACTGGAAGAGCGCCAGCGCCTTGCGGTACAGCTCGTGCAGATGCGTCAGCCTCTTGTCCAGGTCCGCCTCGGTCACCGCCGCATCCGCAAAGACGGTCTCGATGAACTGGCGGTTGTGCAGACCGTCGTGGCTCAGCATATCGTACAGCTCCGAGGATCGCGATGGATCGTGCGGATCCTCTTCAAAGTCGTTGAACAGCTTCTCCCAGCGCTCGCGGAAGAGCTGGGGCGTCTCGTGCGTGCACCACCGCGTCTGCACCCTCTCGATCCCCTTGCCCAGCGTCTTGTAGTTCTGTCGCATGATCTCGCGCAGCTTGCCCAGCAGTGCAGCGAGATCCAGCGCCAAGCGCGCCGGAGGCGGCAGGTCCTCGGGCCAATCGTCGGGCACCGTGCCAGCCTCGGGCGAATCGGGCCTGAGCGAAGCCTTGAGTTTCTTCTTGACCACGTCCATGACGTCCTTGGCGGCATTGCTGTCGTCGAGCAGATCCTTGCGGATGATCATCTCCTTTTCGCCGCTCGACTCGTCGAGGAAGGCGGCGGCAAAGATCTCGGCGCTGGCGGTGACGCGACGCTCGGACGAGGTGTAGACGGTGCAGTTGGAGAGCGCGTCGGCGTTCATGATGATCATGTCCTTGCGCATGTTGTTGCCAAACTCCTTGGCCTGGTGGCGCGCCGCATGCGAGAACTCGCCGCCCCACTTGATGATGAGCTGCATCTTGGCCAGCTCGGCCGACTGCTTGTCGAAGCTCGGCTTGATCTGGACCTTGGTGCCGGGCATGTCCTTTTTGCGGTTGATGAGCTGGATGATCAGTTCGAGATCCTCGACGTTGGCGCCGGGGAGGGCGAGCGCCTCGGAGGCGGCGGTGGAGACGAGGTCGAGCTGGGTGCGCAGGATGATCTCCTCCCTGCGTCCCTGAAGGAGGGCGATGAGGGGCGCAGCCCAGGTGTCGGAGGGCTTGAAGGAGCGCTTGAGCTTCTGCTTTGGCGTGCGGTCGCCGTGGCGGAAGACAGTTACGGAGGCCTTGAGGTTCCAGGCGGAGCGCTCGCGCTCGCGCGGGCTTGCGCTGCCGACGCCGCTGCCCGAGCTGCCGATGGGCCGTCGGACGACCTTGTCGTTGCAGAAGCGGCTGAGGATGTCTGCGCACTTGTCGTAGTAGAAGTCG